GAAGGTTTTGGAGGCTAAGGAGGGATTTGAACCCAGGTCTCCTGAGCCATAGTCCAATGTTTTATCTGCTATACCACATTGGCCCTGAAAAAATTAATTCAACCCCCCCCCCCATCCAACCTTTTCCTTTCTCTGTCATGAAGATCCATGCCGACCATGTTAAGGCTCAGCCTGACTGTTAACTGTCATTTGGTTTGCAGAGAATCAGATCCTCTCCAGATCATTCCTCATTCTGACATCAGAGAATTCTGTTTCTGTTTGGCCTGGGTTGTATCCATGCCAACTGTAGGAACCCATCAATCCTTGTGATTACAGAACCATCAATAATGAACCTTCAACAAAGCAAAGGGTTGGTCTTGTAATGGACCTGAAGAACAGTCTATACTGACCTATGCCTAGGGTGACAGGGGATTCTGGGAGCTGTAGTCCAAAATGGAAACAATTACCAAGCTCTGCTTGGAATGTTTTTATGAGCCATCACATTGCCTTTGACTTAGGACCGCCTTATGGATGAGTGACTTCCAACATGGTACAAGCTGTCCAGAGCAAACTGTCCTCTAGCACCACCCTGGGGTGGTATATAGGTCAGAAATACACACAAGGTATCCTGTTGTTAACATACATCCTTTGGTGTTGCTGGTTGTCCTTATGAAATGTTGGTCTGCAGAAGCACATTGTTAATCATCAGATGTTTGGGGGAAGCTCTGTTGGATTAAAAAGACTTTTGAATACAAATAAATGATATGATTGTTGTTTGTGTCATGCAGAAAATATCCTCTCCAACACAACTCTTTCCAACAATGACCAATGTGGAAAAAGAACGAAAGGTTAAACAAGAATATTTAACTCTTAAAAGAAGAGGAGATGCAAACAAAATCCATACCCCAACAACCTCTGTACTCTGAAATGAAGAAGAATCATCCCAAATAAAACTGTTCTTGAATATTTGTAGGAATGTTTTCAGGACAGGGTGCTTGAATATTATATGGTTTCTCCCATGGATGTGGCTTGTTGCTTTTTCCTGACAGTTAAGAAGACATCACATTTCTTTACCTTTTGGTTCTGCCCCCTCTTCTTTCTTGGCCATGGTAACATGTGTCATATATAGCCTTGTTCCTTCATCAAATATCTGAGTAATAATATCTGTTAGTGTTTATGTATTGAAGGAGTCTTTCAAACCATCCGCTTTCTGACTTGTATTAAGGTAAAGTGTGGAGAATGCAGGGCTGGCCATGTTATTTTGACATCTGAGGCAGAAAAAAACCACCCACCCACCTCTCTCTGGGATCCTAAATTTAACACAAAAATAATGGTTTTGTCTTTGCCTGACCCAGACCTGTGAACAGAGAAGAAAAGAAGGAAGACATTAGTCCTCTAGAAAAGGGTGGAAGGTCATCTGAATGACTGGCTCCTACTTGTTCAAGAGGCTCTTACAGTCTCCTGATATCCCACATTCATCCTGACTCAAGAATTTTAGAGCTCTGGCCCAAAAGGGAACCTCTTTGCAAGCTCTGGGGAAAAAGCTATCTTTGAAGAACATCCCTGTTTTGAAATGTCAGCCATTTCCCTTACAAGACAGACAACCGCTACCAACACTCTTTCTACAAATCCTTCTAAAATCTTTTCCCATCCAGGAAAGGGTAATGTCATTGTCATGGGCTACCCTAAGGGACCCTCAAAGATTAATACAGACCCTCCTTCTTCTTTACCAGTCATCACAAAGAGTCATCCTGACCACATGAAGGCTCAGCCTGACTATTAACTGTCACTTTGTTGGAAGAAAAACAGAAGCTCTCCAGGTAGTGACCTCATTCTGACATCAGAGAGTTCTCTTTCTGTTTGGCCTGGGCTGTTCCCATGCCAACTGTCGGAACCCATCAATCTCTGTCATCAGGAAACCATCGATCTAAATCTTCAACAAATCAGAGTGTTGGTCTCATAAAAGATGTAAAGAAGGATCTGTTGTGATACGTAGCTATGGTGACTGAGGGGATTCTGGGATTCCCAAAGAAGAGGGACATTTCCAAATGGTGGTATACCTGTGTTGCAAGACATGCCATCTTTCAGTAACAAATATAGTCAAAGGCAGAGGTCCCCAATCCCCAGTCCGCAGCCCGTGCCGGTCAATGGCCTGAGCCCGACCGGGCCATGGAGAGAGGCCTCCCCCCACCCCTGTGTGCACTCCCCTCCACAGCCTGTTTGTGCCTGCATGCAAGTGCACGCACCTGCATGAGCACTGCACCACCCTTAGTACATGCACACAAGTGCACCCGCACTAGTGCCGCACCACCCTTCATGCATGTGCACAAGTGTACACATGCCCACACAAGCTCTGTGCCACCGTTCACCCATGCCCAGTAGCGTGCAAACATGCCTTCACACATGCGCACAAGCGCATGAGGCTGCCCCGCCTTCCCCAACCGGTCCGTGGGGCTAAAAGGTTTGGGGACCACTACCCTAAAGGATTCCCTTTAGGTAGGATTTAGCAAGCCACTCAAAGGGAAAAATCCTCTTTGCTTATGCCCCTGAATAACAGCTGATCCATGGGGGGCATAAGCAGATAGGGACAGACGAAGGGACAAGCATAAAAGGGTTATATTCATTGCTACATATTCGTCATGGTCTCTGGACCTCAAGAATACGAAGCAATGGATCTCTGATGAATCATCAATATTAGTTGAATATTGTGATTCCTTTTTATATCCGTTCCCATGTCTACTCATAGCCTTTCCTTCTTCACTTTGCTCCTTCACTCCCCGCTCCCACCTGTTGGATCTCTGATGAATCATCAATATTAGTTAAATATTGTGATTCTTTTTATATCCGTTCCCATGTCTACTCACAGCCTTTCCTTCTTCACCTTGCTCCCTCACTCCCCGCTCTCACCTGCATGCAGCACATCAACTTGGAAAAGAACAAATCCTGTGCTCATAAGGAAGAACTCCCCCCCCAGCCCATTTGCTATATGTGGACAAGATGAGTGAGAGATGGAAGAAGTGTGACTCACATGTGTACCCAGACAATTGGGTCCACACATATCAATTCCTTGTGTCTAGCTAACTCCAGACGTTTGAGATTCGAGTTACAGTCCATCTTAAAGAAGCATCTGTGTTATCAAAAAACAAACCTTGATTCTAATTTTTTTTTAAAATCTTGTGCAGCCATTAGTTTGACTGGAATGCATGTTGCAAAAAGAGCACTCACTTCATCAGACTTGGCCAAATATGAGTCAAGTTATCAAAAAATAAGTTGTATCAATGATTGGTATGGCGTATATTATCAGCTAAGAGAAAATGAATAACAACTGTGTTTTCTTCTTCAATTCCCCATAGAATTTCAGGATTTCAGTCAGTGATTCACCTTCCCATTCATTATCTGAAGGACTGTCATTAATTTTGCTGCTTATTACAAACTAGGAGTGCTTCCAATATCCACTGACTCAACTACTGTGACAAGGAATGATGGCATAAAGAGACTTTTCAGTAATCACAACTGGAACTTGGAATTAGAAATTAACAGCAGTCAAAGGAAGCACCTCTAGGACTTTTAAGAAATTATTTTTTTTAGAGACTGGAGGAATATCAGTAGCTTGAGCACTATTATTGTGCACTGAAATACGGAAATGTCTGTGTTGAGAAACGTTTGTACACAAGATGATGATATTGCTTCTCTTTCTGCAGGTACTGCTCCCCCAGATGGTATGTGAGATGGAATGTGTTAAATGCAAAATCAGGAGTCCTCACCCTCCATGTCATCAGTATCACCAGAGAGGGGACCTCATCATTGGTGGAATAGTTTCTCACTTCTACATCGTCTCTCGTTCAGTGAATTTCACTGAAGAACCTCTGCCAATGAGGTCTGGCCATCTTGGGTAAGGAGTCATTCCTTCTAATCTTGCATCTTCATTTCTTCTTTAGAAGGTAGACTAAATCTAGTGGTTTCAGCTTTAGAAGATGTTTTAAATAGGTCTGCATCTGTAAACTATTAATACAGGTAATGAGCAATGAGATTTCTGAGATCTAGAGTCAAAAGGTTAAGCAATTCTCTCTTCTTAAGTTAACATAACAGCAGCCACAGTAATCCATATGGTGGACTGGATTGATACTTCTGCCTAAAATGACTTTCAGGTACCTGATTGGATAGCTAGCACACACTCTTGGACCTCCTACCCAAGAGTAGAAGATTGCTTGTGCATGTTCCATCATGCATGTTCCATCGTAAGGGCTGGAAAAGGATTGAATCCTTTGAAGTGAAATATATAACCAAATAGGGAAATTTCATCTAAGGAAGGCATGGAACTGAAATTCGGTTCCTCAGTGGGAATCTCCTTACCTTGAATGAGCAAAATTTCTGTTATGAATTCCTTTTCCAGTGCTGTGCCGCGTATTATCTGTCCCTAATTATTACATGCCATCTTATGTTTTCCTCTCTGTCCACCTTCTCTTTCTTCTAATTATGTGTGTGTTCTGATTAAGGTAGCATATGCTTAAACTGCATGTGAGTTGCACTGGTGTAGCACCCTTCACACCAGATTACTTTTGAAGAGTCCTTACATAGTCTACAAAATAGGGCTACTATCCCAGGGATCAGGCTCTACCTAGTTTCCAATTAATTTTGGAGCACTGTTTAAAAGGTTGATCATTATCTCTCAAGTCCTAAATGCATTGACATTAAATGCTAACTAATGGCCTGCTGGAGGACATTCTTTGTGCCCACCTATGGAAAAAAGTGGGCACCTGTGACATGTGTCGGTCACTTTATTCTACCTCTTCCCCAATATATGATGCTTGTGGTGTAGTTTTATGATAATACAGCTATTTAGATTGCATTTTAATAAATGGAGTACTCCATCCCATTTAACTTAATGAAACCTATTTCTGAATAGCCCTACATGACTCGGATTTTAGTAGCAAGGATTATAGACAAAGTATCTTAGATTAAGGCTAAATACATGAAGTTGAATATTGAAATTAATAATAAAGTTGATGGGGAAAAGCAGTATGGATCATTTCATAAGTGAAGGACCTTCTTCTGACAGAGAGTGGAATTCTCATTCTGGTGGGGTGACTAATAATCATCAACACATCCTGGCCTTGGCATTTGCTGTAAAGGAGGTCAATGAAAACCCTCATCTCTTACCTAATCTCACCTTGGGCTTCCACATCTACGACAGCTACTTTGATGCCAAGCAGACTTACTATTCCACATTGTTACTTACATCCACACTGGAGGCGTTTGTTCCAAATTATATATGTACCATGGAGGAAAACCTGATAGCAGTTGTAGGCGGACCGGACTCCGAAACCTCTCTGCATGTAGCACCTATTTTGGACATCTACAAGATCCCACAGGTGGCATATTTGTCTCTGTATGTGTGAAATATGGTCCTTTTAAATGTGATTCTTTTCCCTCTAAGTGAAATGGGCTCATTAAGCAGATAGAGTCTGCTCTTCAGAGGTCGGCAGAAAAAAAACTCTAATTCCTGTGATCTCTTTGTTTGGTTTGTCCCCACAACCTCTAGAGGTCACCATGTTGGGATAAGGATATTATAGCCTATGGTGAGAAGACCTGCAGTTAGAGAAATAGCAGATGTTACTTGAATGAGGAAAAATGGGTCAAATGGAGAAAGAGAAAAAGTAGTTATATGATCCATATGTTCACAGTTAGGACATTCTACATCAAGCAATACCTGTTGTTTTTTAATTGCCTGCTGAATTAATGGTGTTGGTGTTTCAGTAAGATATCACTCAAACAAGAATTTGGAGTGGAAAGCTGAAGAGCATGTATGTGTGGAGGTTTGAAAAAGGAGGGGTAAAGATAAGAAAGTGGAGATTTTTGTTCACTTTATGTTCCCCCCTCCCCAACATTTACAAATGCCTTTATAAGTTCAATAGAAAGCCCTTGTGATTCATAAATTCTGAACTTGGGTGAAAGTGAAGTTGATGTGTTGGTTCACTGGAGAAATTTCAGGAAAGCTAGGTTCAAGGGAGGGAAACTTCTGGCCTGTGCGACTAAACCAGTAGTTACCACATGTTCTGGACCAAAATTCCCAGAGGTTTTCACTACTAAACCAGTAGTTACCACATGTTCTGGATCAAAACTCCCAGACGTTTTGACTACTAACTGTGCTGGCCAGGATTTCTGGGAGTTTTAGTCCAAGAACATTTGGTGACCCATGTTTGTGAACCAGTGGTCTGACGTTTTGACTACTAACTGTGCTGGCCAGGATTTCTGGGAGTTTTAGTTCAAGAACATTTGGTGAGCCATGTTTATGAACCAGTGGTCTAAACTCTAAACCATCAAATTTGTCCTTTGAATCTAGAACTGCTCTATTAAGAGATTCTCCTACAGCTTTTTAGTGGTATTCTGTGTCACCTCTTTCTAGAAATCTACATTTATCGCCAGTCACCTTGGCAATAATGAGTGCATGGTTCCTGCACCATTCATGCATTGAACGGAGAAATTCAGAGAATGTGGCTGTGAAAAATTGGTTTGCTTCCACCTGTCACTCATTTCAGGGAATAGAGACATCGTTCTTTCTACTATCCATAAGTGACAAGTTTACATGAAGGAGCCCCTTCCATGCATGGTAAACTTGTGTGTCTCTCCACACAAAGATGGTTCATAAGGACTTGGAGCCAGAATTCCAGAAGCAATTAATGTGAGCCATACCATGAACTGCTAGATAGCTTAGTGATTTAGGTATCTGGCTGCAGAGCCAGTGGTTGGGTGTTTGACTCCTTATTGTGCCTCCTTGACAGGTACATGAAGGAGCCCCTTCCATGCATGGTAAACTTGTGTGTCTCTCCACACAAAGATGGTTCATAAGGACTTGGAGCCAGAATTCCAGAAGCAATTAATGTGAGCCATACCATGAACTGCTAGATAGCTTAGTGATTTAGGTATCTGGCTGCAGAGCCAGTGATTGGGTGTTTGACTCCTTATTGTGCTTCCTTGACAGGCGCTGGGCTGGGTAATCTATAGTGTCCATTCCAGCTCTGTAGTAGATGATAATAATGATTATAAGTGGTAAATAAATGCTCATTTTTTTCTTCCTCTCCTTAACATACTTGCCTTAGCTCGTATATGCCTCTGCTCCTTTAATGGATGATAAAACTCCAGGCCTTCCCTTCTACAAAACATTTCCCAAGGAAGCCCTTCTGTATGAAGGGATTCTTTCTTTGCTCCTGGATTTCAAATGGACTTGGATTGGGGTTCTCATTATAGATTCTGACGGTGGAGAAAGATTTTCCCAAAATGTCCTTCCATCGTGGTCTGAACATGGGATCTGCATTGCTGTCGTACAGAGGGTCCCCACGTTTGGTTTTAAGCACAACTTTGATGTCTGGTTAAAACGTTATGTAATAATTTATGAAAAAATCATGAGCAGCAATGCCAATGTGTGGCTGGTCTATGGAGAATCTTATGCCATGACACACTGGAAACTGTTGTCGTGTATATCTGAATTAAAGGCTGTAACACAAGCATTGAAAGGTAAAGTGTGGATAATGACAGCTGACATTGTGTTCGCTTCTTTCGAATGTCAAAGTACCCAGGAGAGAGAGTTAATCCATGGTGCACTGTCTTTCACAATCCATCCCAGCCACCTTCCAGGATTATATCAATATGTAACAAGCCAAACGCCTTCAAGCATAACTGAGAACGGCTTCATCAGGGACTTCCGGCAACAGCCATTTAGCTGCGTGTTCTATAATAAAGATGTGGGAGATGTGGAAGGGAATATTTGCACAGGACAAGAAACGCTTGAGAGTCTTTCTGGAGCTTATCTTGAAAGCAGTATGTCTGGCTACAGCTACTACATCTACCGCGCTGTGTATGCTGTGGTGCATGCCTTAAATGCCATGGCACAGTCAAGACAGAAGCATAACCTGATGGTGGATAGAAAAAGACTTCAATCTCCTTATCAACTAGCTTGGCAGGTAACGTACTTAATCCAACTTCTCCATCATAAATTCATTCACCTATATTATCCATTCAGGGCTACAAACTACCCAGTATTCTGGAGCCCTCCAGTTTTCTTCAAATGTGGAAGTAAGGAGCCATGCAGAGAGAGATAGGTGAGGTGAAAGAGAAAGAAATCATGGGGGTGGGGCAACTGCAAAGTGTGGGTGTTGCACGAGAGAGAGAAAGACACACACAAAGAGAACAGAGGCATAGAAAGAGAAGGGGACACACATACGTTTTTTGTGGGGGAGAGCAGCTGAGAGTGGATGGAGCTGTAGAAAGATAGGCAGGAGCAACAGAGAAAAAAGTGAGTCTGGGTAAGAGTGAGGAGTAACTGATAGAGAAAAAGACCTTCTCTTGAATATTTTATGGCTACAAGAATGCAAAGCAGTCTTTTACCTCAATTTCTTTCTTGCCTTTTCAGTTGAACTGGGTTTGTGTTCAAGAGGCAATTTAGCCTTCAGTTCTTCACCTTTGAACTCAACAGTAAGGATCTTTACAGTAAATAGGATTCACTTCTGGACAAGGTTATATTATGACTATAACCCTAGTACAAGAATACTTGAGACTGAACTCATTTAGACTTCCTTCAGAATATACTGGCAGGTTATCCAGAAGCATTATCTTCTTTGGTTGATAACACATGAGTGTCAAATACAGTTGCACTGCAATTTTGTGCTGGTCTATTCAGGAAGAAGTCCTATGGAATTCGGTAGGGTTCATTGGCAGGTGTATATGGTACTGTTGCTCTAACTTCTAATCAATTCATCCATTGCAAAATTTAGTGTATTGTGTGTTAAACTTCTGTTTTAAATGCCAGGAAAATCAATATTGAAAAAAAACCTCTAGTTTATGAAGCTGGGACATTGTTAGCATGTCCAAGAAATGGTGCAACATTACCTCTCAAAATGGTGCCTGCCTAGCCAGCATGAAAAAGGATGCCAAATATTTTGTAGCATAAATATTTGGAAAACTTGTTGACAAACAGTTATGACCATTGCTTTGTTTGAGTGAGATGTGGTTAAAGATGAGATGAAAAAAGGAATCAGGTTCTGAGATTTTCCTTGATTAGCATATGTCTGTGAATAGCAGTGAGTGCAGGGGGGCAGGTTCTTACAGATCATCTTGACAGCTGCCATTGATGTCATCAACATTGCTATGTAATGCTTGGCAGCATTTTTCCTGCAGGCAAAATAGGCACAAGACTGCAATGCTGGACCTCTTCCTGGTGTTTTGAATCATGGACACAGAAGCAATCCCCACATTCATGAAGCAGAAGTTTTTTTGAAGGATGAAACACTGTTTTAAAGGTGATTTTGCTATGCATATCCCCCTCTCTCATGCTTGTGCTTCTCCTTCTTTGTGCTTGGAAGAGAAACTTTAAATTTGTAGCTGCTGAAATATTTTGTCTTTGCCAATGCTTACCAGTTTTTAATCCAGGCAGCTTTCCTCCAATCTGGACTCAGCTGGACAAAACTAACATATTTTCTTTACTAGCTCAACTGCAATCACACAAATAATATCATACTACATGTAAACAGAAAACATTCACATGTTTATGCTGTAGTGGGGAAATTCATAATTTAGTTGAATTGAAAATGCAGATCTAACCATAGCAAAAACCATAACATGGGTAGGTAAAGAAATTGGTGTAAGCAAATCTGAAAGAGTCAACAGGCTGCTTTCCAAATGTCATGTTTCTTAACCTTGTCTTGACTGTTCCAATCTAGCTCCATCCATTTCTGAGAGGTGTATCATTTAATAACAGTGCTGGGGAGAAGATTTCCTTTGACAACAATGGGGAGTTAGTCGCCAGATTTGATGTCATCAATTGGGTTGCCTCCTCAAACCAGTCTTTGTCTAGAGTGAAAGTTGGGTGGATAGATCCTCAGGCTCCCCCAGAACAAGCACTCACCATCAATGAAAAAGACATAACATGGCATAGATGGTTTAACCAGGTATGATCTCAGTGAGGCAAATTTCTGATGTCTCCCATCTCTGAAGCATGTTGATACTAGTGCCCTGTCAATGCTACATCCAGTTTTCCTGTCAGAAGAAGAAAAAAATTCAGAGAGCTATGTGAAAACCTTGTTATGATCTGGGTCAGTGCGCTTTAATATTGTACTAATAGTTACAGTCAGTCTGGGTATTTTAAATTGATTTACCTGGATGCATTTTAATACATCTTGATCCTCCTGGGCTACTTAAAATTTGACACTTATTTGAATTATACTAGATTATGATAATCAGGCAGTTGTAAGCCTTGTTATGCAGTGTGACTTTACATGGCAATACATACAAAAGCAAATATGAATGGCTCTACATTTTATATGATAAAAATATTACAACTTTATATACATTTTTGCTGCCTGTTTGTGTTTTCATATTCATGGTGTTATGTTTTGAAAGCTGACAAGGGTGATCAGCACCAGAATCCCTGCATCCTGGGGCTACTAAAGGCTTCTCTGTGGCAGAAAGGAGGTGTAAGAATTCTTAGACGCACAAATGGGGAAAAATGAAATTAATTTAAATCAATTATTTCTGATGCTCCAGTCCAGTACACGTTGGTGGACCTGCACCAAGAGGACCTTGCTCAATTTATAATGTTATAGCAGAGTACCATATTAATCAACTGAATATGGACTCTAAAATAGCTCTTTTTCTTCTTCCTGTGATGTGGAAAGTTACTACAGCTCTCAGAATCACCCTGATACTCTACCTCTGGGATTTTAGTAAAAGTAACAGTACAAAAGTAACTTTCCCCAAAATTAATAGTAATTACATGGTACCAAAGCAGAACCATAGTTTTTGACTGTTCTGAAAGATTCCAGCTTGTGGGTTCACTCTAGGTGTTATGAAACCAACTCTGACCTTTTTACCTCATGCCTCTTCTTGTTATCTCTGGTGATCACCCACTGATAGTTATTGACAACAGCTGAGAAGTGCTACCTAAAGTTTTAAGCATCTCTGGAACTTTTTTAAAAAAGCATTGTGTAGCCATAGAATGAAGGCTTTCTCAGGTAAATTAAAACCAAATGAAATGTCATAGAACTGTAAAAAAAAAACTTATTCTGCACTAGTATGGTCATCTCCATCTATCTATGCATTAGACTCGGCCTGTTTCTGTATGTACGGAGAGCTGTCCCCCTGGTTCCAGCAAGAAAGTGAAGGAGGGGGAGCCATTTTGCTGCCATGACTGCATCCCATGTCCAAATGGGAAGATTTCAGACCAAAAGGGTGAGAATAAATATACAGTGTCAATAGATCCTGCATAACAATAATAGAATCCTAGAAGACCAGGACTGGAACAGACCACAGTGATCCTTGAGTATAGCCCCCCACCACCAGAGCAGGCAATCTCCACCTACAACATCCTTGGCAGGAGGTCACCCATCCTCTGTTTAAACACCACCCTCAGAGGTGGTAGAATTCACTGTTATAGCTCTTAATGTTAAAAATTTTTCCTTTAATTTAAATCCAGTACTTCAGATCCTACCCTCTGGAGTTTTAGAAAACAAGCTTGCTGCCTCCCAGTCTCCTGTTTTGTAGGCAAAACATACACAAAAATCCCCTGAACCCTTCCTTGTAGATCTTGGCTTCTAAAGTTTTAATTACCCCAGTTGCTCTCCTCTGGGCATGTGCCATCTTCTCAATATTGGTCATGAATATAAAATCTGACACGCATAAGCCTTATTTCTTCACTGTGTGAAACACAGACTAGAGAGATTTCTGATACTTAGGATGGTGAAGAAGTGAATAAAAAGAAAGAGTCATGTTTCATTTGCATTCATAGCAGAGGTATATTTAAAAAGTCACAATATCTAAATGAAGAGAAGAGTAACAGAATGTGGCTGGTGCTCAATATGGTTTAGGCATCTGGCTGCGGATCCAGAGATTGGGTTGGAAGTTTGATTCCCCACTGTGTCTCCTTGACAGGGGCTGGACTTGATGATCTATAGGGTCCCTTCCAGTTCTGCAGTTCTGAGGTTATTGTTAGAAACTGCTGGATAGTTCAGTGGTCTGTAGCTTAGACATAAGTTATGCTACTCAAAAAGCATATAATAATCACCAGCTGAAATCCTGTTGCTTAGTGTAGTTAGTTACAACTAGAGTAGACCCACTGGATCAGTGTAATTCTTCTGTAAGTTTCAATGGGCCTATTCTAGTTGCAGCTTACTATGCTAAGAAATAGTATTTCAGCCAGATACTATTAGTCACAAGTCTGTATACTATGTTCAGTATCAGAAGAGATATGCCATATGCTTGCAATTCATGGACTCAGCGGGCAGGTGCATTATCCAAAAATGTTGGGGCAGGGGGATGACTCAGGTCAGGAATTTACTGACTAAGGTATCTTGGAATACTAGTTGTTAGGAACCATAACAATATTATGGGTCATGACACTCTCAGAAGACTCTAGTACAGATGTCTGCTTGGCCATTGTTAACAAATAATACTGGACTCTTTTCCTCACCCTTTTTTTGTGTATGTAACTGTCTCAACATCTTCCTCAGACATGAATGACTGTGTTACCTGTGTAGATGGAAAATATCCAAACAAAAACAAGGATTCATGCATTCCCAAGGATACCAATTTCCTGTTTTATGGAGAACCTTTGGGGATCAGTTTAGCTTCTATTGCTCTTTCCTTTTCTTTGATCACAGCTATGGTGCTGGGAACATACCTGAAGCACCACAACACACCCATTGTCAAAGCTAACAATCAGGACCTCGCCTACATGCTCCTTGTTGCTCTCCTGCTGTGCTTTCTCTGTGTATTGCCCTTCATCGGACAACCTCAGAAAGTGACATGTCTCCTCCGACAGACTACTTTTGGCATTGTCTTCTCTGTGGCTGTTTCCTGTGTGTTGGCAAAGACCATTGCAGTGGTTGTGGCTTTCATGGCCACCAAACCAGGATCCAAGATGAGGACGTGGGTGGGGAAAAGACTGTCTACCACCATTGTGACTTCTTGCTCTCTTACTCAAGCAGGCATCTGTACTGTGTGGTTGGCCACTTCTCCCCCATTTCCAGATGTTGACGTGCACTCAATGATACAAGAAATCATACTAGAATGTAATGAGGGTTCAGTGGCTCTGTTTTACTGTGTCTTGGGCTATATGGGTTTCTTGGCCATTGTCAGCTGTTCTGTGGCTTTCTTTGCTAGGAATCTGCCAGACAGTTTCAATGAAGCCAAGTACATTGCTATGAGCATGTTGCTCTTTTGCAGTGTTTGGCTGTTCTTTGTTCCAGCATACTTGAGCACCAAAGGGAAATACATGGTAGCTGTGGAAATCTTTGCTATCTTAGCCTCAAGTGCTGGGTTGCTGGGCTGCATCTTCTTTCCAAAAGCTTTCATTATTTTGTTTAGGCCTCACCTGAACAAGAGGGAACAGCTAACAAGAAAAACACACTGAAGCATTTTCTTTTGTCCTTGTGTGTTTCTTTCACTAACTTTAATTCCTCCTTTGTCTGAATCTAGTCTGGCTTTCCATATGATATGGTTTGTATACAAATTATACCCAAAAAAGGAGTTACAATTCATCCTTTTCTGACACCTTTGCTAATAAGAAACTATTGTGTCTCTTCAGAATGGTAGCTTCTTGTCCACAATACAAGTTGTGCATCTGGACAATTTAATGTACAGCACACCCATTTCTTTCAGAACAACCCATAATTTCTCATGATCTACAAAGGGTTTTGCCATAGTCTATAAAGCACAGATTGATCTTCTGAAATTCTTTGTTCCCCCCAGTCCCAGAATAAAGATGTGAGACAGTGATATGGATTAAATATGGGCCACACTTTATTAAATCAAATCACATCAATCTATATTTTCAAACATTATCAAAACAGGGGGCCTGCTGTAGATTATCAAAAGAGGGGGCCTGCTGTAGTGGAAACAGGAGAAGGCGGGGGTATCCTAATACCCCCTGATCCGCCATTGCGTGAGTCCCCGGCCCTAGATTCCAGCGGTCTTAAAGACAGCAGGAACCCGACTGGCCACTAATAAACACCCCAGACCTCAAGACATCTTGAATAGATGACTGTTGGTCAGGAAGTGGCCCAGTGCATCTTCCCTGCACCGGCCCTGTAATCGCACGATCCACAGATCCGGGAGGTTGGATGTGCTGTTGGCTTACCTGAATTACAAACGGGACACACCGAGACTACCTGTTTTTCTGCACTACCTGCCAGGCTGAATTACAAACGGGACACACCGAGACTATCTGTTTTTCCGCACTACCTGCCAGTGTAACCAAATCAACCACCAAAAATGGCAATAACCCTTCTCTAGTGTGAGATAGGTGAAAAATCCCCACATCCAAAAGCCGATCAGGATGAAGGTCAAAAATTCCTATCCGGCCCCTAAAAGGTGACCATAAAAATCACACTAGAAATAGGGAGAGTGGGTGGGTGCCCGAACAGGAAAGAGGGCGATCAAGTGGGAGTGCTTGCTTAAATAACTACACTTCCTCACCCAAACTAGTCACGTGACCCGGGACAGTCTCGCACCATCCAGGACAGTGGGGCAACCACCAGCTATGCTGTTCCAGGGCAGCAAACTGTCCGTCCAGCTGCTGAGACCTTGGTGTGGTCCACTAGCCAGCAGATGATCTTGAGTGCCTCTTACTTTTCATAATTCAGTTTGAACATCAGGCATTTCTTGCTCCACATAAGGTAAAAGCCTTTGTTGCAACATCTTGAACATCATTTTGCTTGTATGGGAACTTAAAATAAAGATCCTAAAGTCACTGCACTCCTTGGCATCTCCTTTCTTGTGGATTGGACTGCATATTGAATGTTTCCAGTTTGTGGGCTGTTGTTTTCCACATTTGTTGGCTTAGTGTTTGGATTTTGGCAGAAAACACACATGTTTACTACTTCAAATATAAATGAAAAGGCTATAGAAACCCAAAGGATCCAAAACATATTTCAGAGGAGCACTTCAGAGGAATGCTGTCCTCTGAAGATGCCGGTCACAGAGACTGGTGAAACATTAGGAAGAACAACCTTCAGAACAGAGCCAAAGAGCCTGAAAGACCCACAACAACCGCCAAAACATATTCTTTCTGACAATGGCACTATATTCTTTCATCTTTGGTCTAGCTTAAGCCACTTTCTATCTGCACTGAGAGATACCCTTCTGGTTTGAGCAAAAAAATTAAAGAAGGGGAACCATTTTGCTGATATGATTGCATCCCTTGTCCAGAAGGGAAGATTCTTGATCGGAAGGATAAGAAACAAAAGCCCTTTTCTGTGGAACAAGGTCAAAGGCTAGATTCAAGATGGAAACATGGACTATGGCATGAATGGCCTGGCCACCTGGGCAAGTACTAGATTTTAATACATTGAGCATGAAGAGGATCTTGCGCATGCATTTGACTGAACACACTAATTGAGCTTCTGTGATCTAGATACTGCAGAAGAGACACTTCCAGTTGGAAACCTTTACCAAGGCCTCTCTAGATGTTCATGATGAATGTGTTCTTATGCCACTCTCAGGGAGGTAGATGTTGTTTATATATGTCCTCTCATCCCCATCACAAATGTAACCTTTTCCCTGTCCACTCAAATATCTGAATCATCTACTCATTAGGATATTTTTAAATGTCAGTAATAGGAAGTCTTCTCTATCTTCTGTACTTATCCTTGACTTTCAAAGGACCCAGGAAAATGTATTCATCAATTGTGAAAGGATTTGTGTGTGTGTGTATGTGTGTGAATTTTTACACATAAACATGCACTAGTGTGAGTCTGTGTGCACCTGGATGTTTTCTTGACTCACCAAATGAGCAAATATGACTTCTTCATTGGCTATATTTCATCTGCTGTCAATATGAAAACTCTAATTGTTCCCCCTTCTTTTGTCTTCAAAAGATTCATGGAGGTTAAAAGAGGAAAAGTGAAGTGTGGTCACGTATTATTTTGAGACATATGTAGCTCCTCTGACTCAGAAACTTTCTGTAATCTTTTCTTTTTCAGACATGAATGAGTGTTATATGTGTAGATGAAAAGTATCCAGACAAAAACAAGGAGTTCTGTATTTCCAAGAACACCACTTTTTTGTCATTTGGGGAATGTTGGGAACCTTTTTAACATATTCTGCAGTTTTCTTTTATTTGATCACAGTTCTGGTTTTAGGAACATTCCTGAAACATCACAACACTCCGATCATCAAGGCGAACAACTGGAACCTCACCTTTACCCTTCTGATTTCTCTCTTGCTCTTCTTTCTTTGTGCACCGCTGTTCATTGGCCAGCCTCGGACAATGACGTGAATCCTCTGACAAACTGCTTTTGCTGTTGTGTTCTCTGTGGCTCTTTCATGTGTGCTGGCAAAAACCATCACAGTGGCCGTGGCTTTCATGGCCACCAAGCCAGGATCCAAGATGAGGAAGTGGGTGGGAAAAAAGACTGGCCAACTCCATTGTGATTTCTTGTTCTCTTATCCAAGCAGGCAATTTGCAGTGGGTGGTGAGCAACCTCTCCTCCATTTCCACATGCTGACATGTACTCAATGTCTCATGAAATTGCACTGGAATGCAATGAGGAATCTTTGACTCTGTTTTATTGTACCATGGGCTATTTGGGTCTCCTGGCCCTTGTCAGTTTCTCCATGACTTTCTTTGCCAGAAAGCTACCAGATAGTTTTAATGAAGCCAAATTCATTACATTCAGCATCTTGGTCTTTTGCAGTATCTGGTTATCTTTTGTTCCTGCCTACTTGCGCACTAAAGGCAAATACACAGTAGCTGTGGAAATCTTTTCTATCCTAGCCTCAAGTGCTGGCTTGCTAGGATTCATCTTTTATCCAAAATGCTATATTCTTTAACTGAAGCCTGAGCTCAACAGTAGAAAACAACTCATCAAAAGAATTAAAGACTGAGTCTATGCCCTTTTTAATCTTCTGCAGTCTAGAGATGTTTTCGCATACCCTTAACACATGTTCCTATGAGGAGCTTCTCTTGAGTGGCTGCTCAATATCACCCTTAGCAGTTCACACTCGCGTATAGATATGATATATGAATTGCTGATGACATGGTTTAGATCAGAAAAAAGACACTGTCCACAAGTGTTTCTACTTAAAACGATCCATCATTCCTCTTTAAAAGCTGTTGCTCACCTTTTTGAGCCAACATTCTTTTTGGCATGCTCATTGTTTAGACCCTCTAGCAGCCTCAGATTCAAACTGCCATTGTGGCTGCAGGTTCTGAGGGAGAGTGGAGAGAAAGGGAGAGTGCAAGAAGAGAAGCAGGAAGGAGGGAAGGGAGAAACTGGAATGGCGCTGTTAGAGGGAGAGAGAAGTGATGTAAGAAATTAATAATTTCACTTCCCCAGACTCTCCACAGATGAAGCGCTTAATTCACAGTTGATTGGGCTACAAGGGGTAATTTGTTGTTTAGATGGGAACAGTGTGCCAAATGGTATATCCCCCCACATACCTCTACAGACCCTTTGTCGCTCAATCCACCTCACACCCAAAATAGCAGTCTGGAAAGCCCTTATTCAGTGTACTCTATGTGGCTGCCAATTCCTAAAGTTAGGAGCACTTGATTTTGCCACCCGATTAAGCACATCAGATGTTAAGTTGCTTATAGAAAGCTTTTTCCTCTGAGGAAAGTCTTAAACTGCACAAGAAAAGAGGGGCAGTCTCATGGACTCTTCATATGATTCTGGTGTTCTACAGTTTTGTAAACATAAATGATTGTTGCTACTAGAGCCCTTGATCTGAGATGCTCAAAGAGAATAGTACTTAAAATGAATAATTCTGCAATGATGGTGAATTGGCTAGAAGCACACAATTCTTAGCCAGAATGGGGATTAAATATAGAGTGAGTCACCATTTCTTAGTGCTTGCTTGATTACTGCAGCCAAGATCAACAACGTGTTAGCAATACACCATTTTTTAGATTTATTTTCCTTTGACCTCAGTATGGCAGTTTCTGTGCAAAAAATAAATAAATAAATCTAGGCTTGCTTGGAATAAGATGTTTGGTGTTTCTGAGATCTCTGGGAAATATTCCCATCTTATGTGATTGAGAGTCATGTATGAACCAGACGTGTCTTTGTTCTCTGCTGGCTATGATCCTTAAGGTTGCATATACCACACTTTTCCCCCATGGGACCATAAAAGTAGATAATAAAAATTTAATTGACCACATTTATGGTTATGGTATATATTCTTTTCTTCTTTAGTTAAAGGGAGGAATACCCAGTAGATGAACTTATCATTCAACTTGACTGTGCCAGTTCAAGAACCAGCAGGTGCTACAGTAGCTTTAGCATAACTCGCTTATCCAATGATAGCAGATACCAGCAGCTCAATACAGCATCTGAAGTTGGTTACACAAACAAACCGACCCCAACGGGACCATGAGAAAAGTACACACTGGAAATAGAAAAGGCAGCTGCTAACACAGCCTTCCTCAATATGCATCCTCCAGAGGTGTTACTGAATGATTGACATTAGGTGCAGCCAGAATGGTCAATAGTTTCATCAAATAAGTGGAAATGAAAAAGTTCTACTCAGATGTCACAAGTTTTGTTGTTGCAACTCCATAGGGAATCTCCATGTTTCAACTGGTAGTTAAGTTTCCCCTTCATTATTAAAAGAACTGTAATTAATTTTGCTAGATGTGTTAAAAAAAGATGCGCAATAAGCCCTAGCAAAACAAATCCAAGAATTTGTGAAAGATAGCATAAACAGAAATAAAGCAAGAGCTAGGAACGGAAGCAACCGTATAGCCTCCCAAAGCTTCCATTTTCAGTTCCTGTGCTGAAGCATATCAGCAGAATAAAGGATATTTGTTGTAGATGTTAATAAAGAATTGATTTGTAGAGGAAATATTTGTACCCAGGATGAGGGCTTTGCTGCTATTTCTGTTGACTTTACTTCCTTGTACAGAAGGCAGCTCTCAAGCTGCCAGCTGTAGCATCAGGGCTCCTCACCTTCCACTTCACAAATATCACCAAAGAGGAGATGTCATGCTTGGTGGAATTGTTTCTCATAGTTTCATCATTCCCTCTTCAATGACCTTCGCTAAAGAACTACAGCCCATGATTCCCGAAGAGATTATGTAAGCTGCCAGTCAACCTAACCTTCCATGTTCATTTCTTCTTCAGATATTGGATAAATTAATCCTAATGGTTCCATCTTAAGAGGGATTGCTTTAAGGATCTAATTTGTAAAACTGAAATCTGATAAAGTTAGGAAACAAAAAGACAGGTGTAAGATGTGAGTAAAGTAATTGTTTGTTTTCAGGTTAACTAAAGAGAGACCCAGGGGCATCAATTTTTGTACAAGCATCAAAGCAATGATAGTCTGTCGAGTCAATGGAGCACGTGTTTTTCTGCTGCCCGCATAATGCAGTAGCACAAAATCAGATTATTACCCCTTTGATTGAAAACATCCCTGACTGATCAAAGAACACTAGACTTAAGAATCTTCCCTCAGACAGGGATAGTAAGATATCATACAAGGCAGCTGGGTTCTGTCTGGCGAGTCTCATGTTTCAGAAATTTCCTCATACAGTACTTGACTCTGGTATTGGTATGGAGGGTTTTGAATGGCTTGTATACTTGTTTGTTTTATTTCCAAGTTTGATGTTTTTACATATTGCAGAGAGTGTGTGGATCTGGGTTGTTCACTTCTCTGTATGATGGGTCTGAGGACTTGATTGATGGTCTGTGTTAAAACGAAGAGCTAAACCCTGCATAGATTTTTCTCTACCTCCTTTGAGGGGCATTTCAAAGCATAAAAGAAATCATACCTTTATTTTTAAACAGCAGAGAAAAAAAGACTAAATTTGCTTCCCTGCAGTGCACTAAGAGAAAGGATATTTAAGATGTCTGCAAAGTTTATTCACTGACAGAAATATTCAAACAAATTAATTATTCAGTTCGTACTCTGAAGAATCAGCACATGTGAGTTGTCTAGACAGGATCAGACTACATGCTGTCTTAGGAAGTGTTGTGCAAATATTGTAATAAACAACACTAGCATGTTGGATGCAAACCATCCCATGAGAAAGGTATTTGCACATACTTTTTCACTCAAGAATTGTTCAAGGTGACCGTGCCTAACTAAAACTGCAAGTAAACTTTCCATGAGTAGATGCCCTCCATTTGTCAAAGAGGAGGTTTGTTTATACACACAGAAGTTGGCATAAGAGCAAAATGAATTTCTTCACCAATTCTGTTTAAAAAAACCCACAAATAACCCTTGTCTGAAATCACCCTTAAAGAGAGTGAAATTATAAAGAGAGGGAAAAGCACCATCACTTGAGCGTTCTGGAGCCATTATTTGCCATTTTTTGGGGGTGTGTGTGATTTTTTCCTATTTAAGGAGAGACTTGTCTCCTTTGGATCTTGAGAAGCGGTGAAATGAAAAATGTAACTGATGAATGGGAAGAAAATAGTAATGATCATTCCCCCCAACTGTAAGACAATCTTCTGACACAACTCTCGTTCCAGGATGGTGACTAATAATTACCAGCACATCCTGGTTTTGGCATTTGCTGTAAAGGAGATCAATGGAAACCCTCTTCTTTTACCCAATCTCACGATGGGCTTCCACATCTATGACAGCTATTTCAATGCTAGGTCAACCTATTGTGCTACAGTGCTCCTCACATCCACTTTGGAGAGATTTGCGCCCAACTACCTATGTGATCACGAGAACAATCTGATAGCAGTCATTGGGGGACTAGACGCTGCAACTTCCTTTCATGTGGCAACCATTTTGGATATCTACAAGATTGCACAGGTAGGGCTTGAGTGTGTTTCTGTTTGGTTTGAATATGGGACTTCGGCAAGTTCTTGATGATTCTAGGAGGATTTTGGGTCACGGGAATTAACCATGGTTTAGATTGCTAGGATTGATGAGAGTAGTTGTGTACAACATTTAGATGGCTTCAGGCAGTTGTAAAATCTGGTTGACAATAAGATGATGCAAAGAAATTAGGTGATGTATAAATGAGGAAGAATAAGATCTGTGGAAGAATTAAATCATGAGAGCATGTGTAGAGAGATATTTCCAAATGAATAAATGAAGCAATTCTTTTTCCTCTCCTCCCCAACCTTCTAAGCTCATATATGGCCCTGCGCCAGTGATGAATGATAAAACCCCAGGGCTTTTCTTCTACCAGATGATGCCGAAGGAATCCCTTCAAAATGCAGCAATGCTTTCTTTGCTCCTGCATTTCAGATGGACATGGATTGGGGTCCTTGTTATGGATACTGACAATGGGGAAAGATTTCTGCAAATGGCGCTTTCCTTGTTTTTCCAGAGTGGCGTCTGTGTCAGCAACATTGAAAAAATCCCCATGCATGTTGGAAAAGATTTGGAAAACTGGATAATCAAGAATGCAAAACTATATGATGTAGTCATGGACAGCACAGCCAATGTATGGTTGGTGTATGGGGAATCTTACACCCTGGCATTTCTGAGAGGGTTCTCATATGTATCAGAAATTAGGGATGCAATACGGAAACCTAAAGGCAAAGTGTGGATATTGACAGCCCAGATGGAGCTGGCTTCAGTACTCTACCAAAACACTTGGAATATGGAAATAATTCACGGAATTCTCTCTTTCACAATGCACTCCCATCACCTGCCAGGTTTTCATGCATTTATTGGGAGCCACACCCCTTCCAGTTCAAGAGAAGATGGCTTTATCAGAGATTTCTGGCAACATGCTTTCAGCTGTGTATTCCCTAATCTAGTTACAGGTGAAGTCGAAGGAAAGGTTTGCACTGGGGAAGAGAGACTTGACAACTTTCTTGGGCTATTTCTTGAAACGAGAGTGACTGGTCACAGCTACAGCATCTACAATGCTGTTTATGCTGTGGCCCATGCACTGCATGCTATGTCCCTGTCAAGACTCAAACATCATGTAACGGTAAATGATGAGAGCCTCAAGACTCCTGATGAAATGCTGTGGCAGGTAGTATAATTAATTCACTCCTCCAATTTTATTTTCTGTTTCTGTTTCAGATTGCTCCACATATTGGTCATAATAACCCAAGCCACCTTCCAGTTTGGCAAAGTATTTCAAGTACTGTACACACAGTTGTCTAGATGCAGCCTAAACATCATAGGGTAGAGTAGGAGTGTCCTATGTCATGACAATATACTTCTATAGAATGAAAGATACATTACCCTTGTAGAAGGTACATAACATAGATGTATTGACTATAATCAATTAAACTGCCTAGATTCTTTACAGATCTTCTGTTATCATGGACTCTTGAATCCTAAGCTTGACACTTTGATCTTGTCTATCTTCATTCTAGAACTTTTACATTTTTGCCTGCTGGTATCTTACAGATTTCGACCCAGTAATTTTGCTTGGCAAGGTGTCCTGAACTTTTGACTGTCTAGTTACACAGAATAGATATGATTCCTGGCTGTGCCCACTTTTGTCAAACTCACACCTTACAGTTAAATTGTAAGGCAGAATGAATGGATATTCACAATGGAGAAGAGAATGATTATTTTAGTATAAGAAAAGTTGGGGCATTAGGCACAGATAATTTGTAGGATTAAATCTGAAAGAGTCAACTTTTTCTGCATCTTTTGCCTTTTCCATGTCAATTAGCTTCACCCTTTCCTGAGAAGAGTGTCATTCAATAACAGTGCTGGGGAGCAGGTTTCCTTTGATGAGAATGGGGAATTAGTAGCTGGACTTGATGTGACCAACTGGATCTTTTACTCAAACCAGTCCTTTTCTAGAACTAAAGTTGGGTGGATTGACCCCCAGGCTCCACTGGATCAATTGCTCACCATTCATGAGGAAGCCATACAATGGCACAGATGGTTTAACCAGGTAAGATCTTCCAGTTCTGAATTATCACCATTTCTCCAATATGATGCATAAACTTAGTCATTAGAAGGAATGGTCAGTCTGCAGAAGACATTGATTTTGTAGTATTGCGCAGTTTTGTAACACATTCTGCATTAGATCTGAATTACACACACAGAAGGGATGTAGCTTCCTTGGCTTCATTTCCCCCTCCTTCCTTCCACCAATGTCACAGCCTAAACAACATTAGATTCAAAAGCCTACACTGTAATATTATCTTTCAACTTTGCTTTAGGTCCAACCACTGTCTGTATGCACTGAGAGTTGTCCTCCTGGTTCAAGCAAAAAAGTGAAAGAAGGGGAGCAATTTTGCTGTTATGATTGTATCCCTTGTTCAGAAGGGACGATTTCAGAGCAGAAGGGTAAGAGATAAAAGCCCTTTTCAGTGTGATGAAGTCTAAATTCATGATGAGAGCATGTTGTTTTGTTTCAGTAGGTTTGTGTTTTTGCTTATGTTTTTATGTATAATTATTTAATTAAAAAAAGATATAGCCAACCTATGATCTTAGGAGATAGTCTTTACTCCAAAATTGCATTGGGACATACTCCCCTCAGTCATGAGCTACCTATGATGATATAGAGCAGTGGTTCCCAACCTTTGGTTCCTAGATGTTCTTGGATTAAAACTCCTAGAAGTCCTCACCACTAGTTGTGCTGGCCAGTATTTCTGTAGTCCAAAAACATCTGGGGACACAAGATTGGAAACACTGATAAACAATACCAATTGCTAGGAAACATGAGCACTGTTATTACAGTCTCCTGCTTTTCAGCTTCTCAGAACTTCTGATCTAATTAATAATTGTAAATAAATAATACTGAACTAGCCCTTCTTTTCTGCTGATGCATTTCTTTTTCCTTCTTGTTCAGATATGATTGACTGTTATGCATGTGTGGATGGAAAATATCCAGGCAGAAACAAGGATTTATGCATTCCCAAGGATGTTCATTTCTTATTTTATGGAGTACCTTTGGGTATCACTTTATCCTGTTTTGCTCTTTCCTTTTCTTTGATCACAGCTATGGTTCTAGGAATGTTCCTGAAGCACCACAACACTCCCATTGTTAAAGCCAACAACAGAGGCCTTACCTACACTCTCCTTGTCTCTCTTATGCTCTGCTTTCTTTGTGTATTGCTCTTCATCGGCCAACCTCAGAAATTGACATGTCTCCTCCGACAGACTACTTTTGGCATCATCTTCTCTGTGGCTGTTTCCTGTGTGCTGGCAAAGACCATCACAGTTATTGTGGCTTTCATGGCCACCAAACCAGGATCCAAGATGAGGAAGTGGGTGGGGAAAAGACTGTCTACCACCATTGTGACTTCTTGCTCCCTTATTCAAGCAGGCATCTGTACTGTGTGGTTGGCAACTTCTCCCCCATTTCCAGGTGCTGACATGCACTCAATGATACAAGAAATCATACTAGAATGTAATGAGGGTTCAGTGGCTCTGTTTTACTCTGTCTTGGGCTACATGGGTTTCTTAGCCATTGTCAGCTTCATTGCAGCTTTCTTTGCTAGGAATCTACCAGACACCTTCAATGAAGCCAAGTTCATCACTTTCAGCATGTTGGTCTTCTGCAGTGTTTGGCTCTCCTTCATTCCAGCGTACTTGAGCACCAAAGGGAAATACATGGTAGCTGTGGAAATCCTTGCTATTTTGGCCTCCAGTGCTGGGTTGCTGGGCTGCATCTTCTTCCCAAAATGTTACATCATTCTATTAAGGCCTCACTTGAACAAGAGGGAACAACTAACAAGAATAAAATAACTGAAGAATATTCTTGTGATCTTGGTTTTAGGCTAAACACATGTATGATTTTTTTTTTACAAAGTAGCTACCCATTTTCAGACTTTACATACTTCTTAGTTCTTTATCTCATTCTGAACTCTGAATATTTCTTAGCTATTTCACAGTCCTGTCTAATTTATTGACTTCAATGCTGACATTTTAATTCCATAATTTGTAGAATTAGTTCTTCTATGCCCTTTTTAAAAAAAAGAAGTGCTCTCCTGGGAGGTCTAGGAAGACAGAACCTTAGTCCTGCTGCACCAATGATGACTTTGTATTAGCTAAGTGACTGGGACTTCTTGTTGGAATATTTTTTGGGTTTCTCTCTGAAGGCGAAGATTTTGCTGCCACATGGTAGTGAAAGGGTAACTGTGGGGTGGAATGCTTAATTTCATAAATGATTTCCAAGTATACTCTCTACATGAATTTGTTGAATCATTTTTATCTTTTTTTAAAAAAATAATTATTTCTAAAGAAAAGACAGTCCATCATGTTACAAGTAATAAATACAAAGCTTAACATAGTAAACTGTCATCTTGTTATATAATTTAACTGTTGACCAATTGCTATTCCCCTCATTTCTCAAAATCACATTTACACCATTGCCTGTCTCATCTTAAAGAAATATCGACCGACAATGTAAATGCTCCAATTTTTTTTCCAAACCGCGTCTCTCGAGATTTATTTTATTGGCATATTTTAATAAAGGCTTCCAGTTTTCAGTGAATTGTCTGTGCCTTATTTCTCCTCTATACAGTCTAACTGTATTAGTCATTTTTTTCGATCAACATTGTATGCCATATTTTATTCATAAATGCTTGTAATGAGAGATCTTGAGCGTTTTCCCCATTTCTAGCAATCTCAGATCTTGTGGTGCCTATAAGATTTGCAACTAACTCTTTATTTTCAAGTTTCTCATTTCCCCCTGTAAATAATGAAAATAACAATCGTGTTTCATTCATATCTATTTTTTAATTGGTCAGCGTCTCTATCCATCTAATTACCTCATGCCAGAATGCTTCTATTTTGGGGCAAGAAATCTACATATGTTCAAAAGTTTATTTTGTCCACAGTTCCTCCAGTATTTATGCGATGTATCTTTATTAATTCTATGTAACCTTGTAGGATATAAATGCCACCAATGCACTACCTTCAGATGGGGCTTGCTCTGCTGTTATAGTTTTTTTATTTTTCCCCCCTGCCCCAGCGCATTCCAATGGGGCTTGCTGTGTAGTTTTGTCTGTTTTCTTCAATTTCAGATCCCCTCTCCCAGTCCAGCAACTTACATCTAACTATATAGACTTAAGTGCAGATCAGATTGGACCACCTTCCATTGAGTGAGTTAATGCTGGCCACAGAAATCAAATCTGTTGGGCTTTGAACAAGCAATTATTTTATTTATGATGCCGCTGCAATTCACATATATCATTGCTGAAATAAACAAACAAAAGTTACAACCATTTTGGTTTTCCAGTCTATTTCAATGGGAAGCTGACAATCCAAATTTTCAAATTATTTTGGATCTAGGGCACAAAATCCAGTTTTATAGGACCTGAGACATCTTATCCCAAACTGGATAAGATTAGGCTTCAGTTGCTGAAGCCTAAAATAAATCCCACATTCTTTCTCTTCAGGCTTGATGCTTCATGTTGTGAGCAAAGCAATGACAGAGGAGGCAGAACTAATTCACTCTTCCTTGACACACGTTAGGTGCATTCAGCTCCTGAAGGACAGAATAGGATTTAGGAGTCCAGGAAATGAGGAGGAAAGAAGCAGGAACAATAACATGAAGAAGAGCAGGAGAAACCTTCCTTCTTCTTCCAGTATATTTGGCTACAGTCCTGATCAGGAATGTCCACTCCTGGGTGTCCAGATTCACAACTATAACTGTGTGCGAAAGGTCAAGCCACTGCCTGCCAATGATCGGGCACAGATGTCATCCAGCCGCTCACTTTGAGCCATTGTGAAGTGCTCTTTCCAATTTCCTACCGTGCCTGCAGATGAGAAAGACATTGCAGGAATAACAAACCCAATAATCTTAAAATCTAGCACTTAGATTATTCTCGTTCCAAACTGATAAATTAACAAGATTAACAAAAACGCGTCCTGATCAATTGAGCAACAATTACACATATCCTGGCAGAGAGCAGGGCAGAAATCAGAAAAGTTCTGTGGATGCTGGAAGTTGTAGTACTGAAGTAAAATCTCTGGAGCAAGCACTATATTAAAAGAACAGTTTTTTACTTCTAAAGTGGCCCAGGATTTTCCTGGAAGATGGTTTGAAAACTGTAACTTTAACCCAAATGATTCAGGTAGCAATCCCTCCTCTGACTTAGGTTCACCACTGTGCTTTTGGCAACTATTACCCCAATCTGTTTCTACTGCTCTCTGCTCTAGAGCTGTGAAAAGGGATTTGGGGAGCTTCTCAATGCTGGGTTTCTGGAAGTCCCAATCCAAAGGCTCGTGGAAGTATTCAATTTTCTTATTTTTTCCAGTAAGAAATAAAAATGGCACAAGTGGCAGTGGGAGGAAAAAACTGTTATTATACAGGGTTATTATATCTCGAGAGATACATTCCTTGTAAAAATATGTGAAGAAGCCAGGGGTGATGTATGATAGATATTCAATTCTTAAAACAAAACAAAACAAAACCCTGGTTTATGAATGTGGGATATTGTGCTTCTGTTCTCACAATTCAGAAATCCAGGAAATGGTCCAATATTGCTGCACAATGTCATGCCCATCTTGCTAGCAGGAAAAGGGATGCTAAGCTTTACATAGCAAAGGGCAGCCTGAATGTTGACGATATCAACGGCAGCAGTCAAACTGATCTACAGGATACCTGTTCTGCTCACTAACATTCACAGGGTGACACCATGCATAGGAAAATCCCAAAAGCTCACTCCTTTTTTAAAAACCAATTAACCATTTCTCACTCAAACACAAAGCAATTGTCGGGACAGTTATTCAACAAGTACAAGTGGTTCAAAATTTGTTGTTGATCCAAGGTCCAGTTTCATAGTTATTTTTTGTTTGAGGCATCCCTATTTTTTTGAGTTGACTTATGGAATGCTGAATCCTATTGTCAGCACAATATATTGGTGCCCTCCCAGTCACCAATAACATTCTCCAGTTTTTGACAAATTTTAGACCACAGTACCCATATGTTAGTTGCAGGTTCATCATACCTTTTCTCATGAAAGATGACACAGATGTGTCCATGAGGGTATCAGGCAGGGTGCTGTAATTAGCCATTGGGTTTGCTTTCATGCTCTCAAACGACGTGTGCTGCACAATACGGTTCAGAACTGATTCTGAGAGCTCTATGCCCAAGAACTTGGCTACTTTTTGGATTTCTCGAGCTAGGTCCTAAGGGTGAAGACAAGGCAATAGATCAGATCTTATCATTTATTATTTTCCCAGACCCATCGCACATTTGGATGGGGCTGGCTGTGTGTGTGTGTGTGTGTGTGTGTGTGTGTGTGGTGAATTATTTTTCTGCTTCATTGCCTTCTGATGGGGCTTGGAGTGTTGTGGGTTTTTTTGTGATTATTTTTTTCAGCGGGAACACATTAATAGGATTTCAGTGGATTCCTATGGGAAATGGTGCTTCGACTTACAACCATTTTGAGTTACGCCCATCTTCTGGAATAGATTTATGGTCATAAGTCGAGGCACCACTGTATCATAGAAATCCTCTCCCTACAAGTTATGACAAATACAACACCTTAGTCTTTCAAGTTGCCACAAGACTCTCTCTTGTTCTTGCTGCAACATCGTAACACAGTGCCCCTGAAAACCTTTTAAGGTATTCCATCATTCTATCTCTTTCTCTCCCTTTCATGGAAAGGAAGTCCCAACTCAATGAGACAGGACCGCTCTCTCATTCACGTAACCACATCTTCCCATAGTTTGCTTTTCCTTGTCCTCTATAAAAAATTTTTTGAGGGAACCATACCCCCATTAACTTTTGTTTTCTTTCTCTGCTGTGGTCTACACTGTAGTACTGAATACAGTTCCCAATCACATGAAAACATTACTCTAGTTTACAGCATTCAGAATCTTCCAGACAGAAAAGTCATACTTTGCTAGTTGAGGGATTCTGGAAGCTATAGTCTAAAAAGTAACTTTTCCAAAGTTTTTCTTTTCATAAATTCAGGTACATCAGCTTTCTGTGCAAAGTTATATTGTTATATGCCATCAAGTTATATGCCATTACACTAATAGGTCTTTCAAGGTAAGTAAGAAATTTAAAGAGTGGTTTTACCAGTTCCACAACCCAATCAGCTTCTATGGCTGAGCAGGGATTCAAACCAAGGCCTCCATCACTCTATCCATTACACCACACTTGGTATCCCTGAATTAGACAGAAAATCCTATAAATGTAGCAGGGTGTATATTTATGTAAACAAGTGAAAAGTCCAATCGATATTCCCAAGACAGGTAAAGGCAGAGGTAGTTCTTTGAAAAGGTTATCATTTCCTTATCAGTATCTGAAACCTCTTTCTAGAAATCTAAGATTCACAGTAAGAATAAGTTTAATAAGTTTCTATCTTTCTTGTTTTTTCTATTTCCTCCTTTCTTCATTGATAAGATTTCAGAAGCTCGTGGAAGGTAAAATTGAACTTGATTTAATGCATAATATCAGGTGCATTTATAAAACACAGAATATCCAGATCTTGGAAATTATACCTTTTGGGCTGCAGTTCCCAAAATCCTTCAGGCAGTAAATCCAATTCTTCAATAAAGCTCTGGTTAATGAATATGGGATATTGTGCTCTTGTATCTACAGTTCAAAACACTAGCAAGTGGGGCCAACATTGCCAGCAGGAAGAAGGATGCCAAGCTTTACATAGCAAAGGGCAGTCTGAATGTTGGCAACACCAGTGGCAGCAGTCAAGATGGTCTACAGAATACTCTTTTCTGCTTACTACTACAGTGGTGCCTCGCTTAACGACGTTAATCCGTTCCAGGAAAAACGTTGCAAATCGATTTAATCGCTAAGTGATTTTTAAAAGCCCATAGAAACGCATTAAAACGTGTTTAATGCATTCCTATGGGCTTAAAAACTGACCTTATGCGAAGATCCTCCATAGGGGCAGCCATTTTTGGTGACTCTAAAGCGAGGCAAAACAGCGGATGGCTGTTTTGTTTTTCCAGTGGCCATTTTTGAACCGCCGATCAGTTGTGCAAAAAGGGTGCTTTGCCATGATCTCTTCCCCGTGATCATTGCAAAGCGATTTTCCCCCATAGGGGCCATCGCTAAGCGATCTCTGTGGCGATGGCCAAAACCCCATCACTAAGCGATTTCATCGCTCAACGGAGCAATCACTATGCGAGGCACCACTGTATTCACAATGTGACATCAAGCAGGGGGAAATACCAGAAGTTAATTAACCACTACTCACTCAAATACAAAGCACTTGTCAGGGCTTTCGATAAATGTGAATGTAGCCTCTGCAGCCTGGATTCTTTTCAAATAAAAGAAAGCAAATGGGGCTTCAAGATAAGCACGACTGGTCTTTTCGAATTTTATGAGCTACTTTCAATTTGGGGATATTTAGGGTCACCAATGTCTGAACAAGGGGGTAAAACTGTTTTCCTTAAAAAAAATAATAACTTGAAAACCCATTGCTAAAACTTTCCCAAAGTTGGCCCACAGCAAGAGCAGACTATCAGCCACACATATGCCAAACTCAGTGCTGATCGGAAGTCCAGTTTCAAAGTGATAATTTCTGTTTGTGCTGCCTCCATTTTTTGCGCTGCCTCGTAGAATGCTGATGTGCTCTGCTGCACAACAACGTATTTAACAGTCACTTACCTCTTTCATGTCTTCATAGAAGAGATAGAGAACTGGGTGATGGTCTTTTGCCTCCCACCACCCACGAACATGTTCAAACCAAGAGCCCCAGGCAACTGCAAAGGCAGGTAGAAGTATAAAGAGCAAGAGTGACTTCCTGTTTCATCCTCCACCTTCTTCTATCCCCTGAAAGATGTCTGGAAGTTTCCAGAGTCATTAAGTGAAGCATTCATGACTTTCATTGTGTTAATGCCCAGTCCCAATCATAATCTCGTCAGAAGCATCCCCTCAAAAACCTGAGGATTGAACCCACTCTCTCTGACCCCACTCTCTGAGTAGAATAAAATAAATGAAATATATATATTTAAAATTAAATATGACCTATTGTCTCAATTCTTGCTTTTCTTCTCTAGTGTCTTCCACTCACCCTTCCCAGCAATGAAATTCTCTAGGAACTCTTCCCAGCTTCCACATTCTGGCATCATCTTGTCCATTTTATGGAAATAGAAATAGGAGACAACATTGTCCTTGGCATTCCTGGCCACATAAATGATCTACAGAAATACAGATGAAGAAAACATGAAAAGGAATCCTCTCTAAGCCTTGTGCTTGTCACCACCCTGCTGTTCAAGGTTCTCCTCCACCATTTAGATTATTTCCTTATATGTTTCTTCATATTTGTTTTTTGTCCATTTGTGTTTGGATGCTCTGTTCTGATTTCACACATGCCAGAGCATAACATAGCCACTGCAAACAGCTACCAAGACGGATCCTTGAATCAAATTAAGTTCACATTTGAAACAGGTTCAGGGGCACTCTTTCCTTTCCTTATCCCTTTCTACATTCCAGGCTTGGGCCAGCAATATTAGAAGAGGTCCTGCATCAAAACCTGGATTCAGAATGAGTCCTGTCCTCCCATCAAACATGTCCCTGTTTTTCTGACCTTGGATTTCTGTTCCCAAAAGGAAGGTGGCAGGAGATGGGCAGGAAGATGAGATTTGAGGGTTCGTGGAGAGGGCATTGCATCTGCCTCTTCATAACCTGAAACGGAGGAGGCCAACACTGAGCTTCATGCTGAGGGCAGAATTGGATGAGATGCCAAGCTTTGCAACAAGAAAGTGATAACACTTTGTCACACCAGAGATGTAAGTTTTCCCCCAAAAAAACACTTTCACAACACTTTCACATCTGCACCATCAACATGCAAATAAATCAATGTCCTTTGCCTCTAAAGGAAATTCTCCTTCTAATGGAAAGACTGGTATCTCATCTGTTTATGCCTCAAGAGAAGCATTCACACTCTGCCATGATCTTCCACAAGGAGTGTCTCCACCTCACCTGAAGGCAGGGGTTTGGGAAGGCAGAGTTCAATGAAGGGCATGCGTTCATAGATGGGACCCCGTGCACATTTCTGTGCATCTCCTCCGTGCTGGATCATGTCCACAATTTCCTGCATCCAAGTGGTCCCTGTTGTGGATGGGGGTGAGGAGGGCGTGGAGAGAAGAAACATGGAGATCCTGTAATTCAGCCAATGGGACTTACTCATCTCCATTCCTGCTCCTTTATTGCTATTAGCACACATGCCACCCTCATTTCTCCTCTAAGTCCATTTACCTGCTTTGGGGTAAGTGCAAATAAGAACGTCATCAGGACGAGCTTTAAAGTCCCATACCATATCCCACTGCTCTGCAGTATCCTCAAGCAAAGGAACTCCTTGAACATCTACTAGCTCTAATTGCTTGATGTATTTTGGATCCAAAGTTTCCCATGGGTGTTGGGTATTCATTGTCTGGTGGGATAAAAAGAGCATTGGTAGAAGATTATGGCTTTACCTTCTAGCCCAGAGCAAGCTAATGCTCCTGCTCTATCCCCTCTGGTACCAGAATAACAGGACACCCTTGCTCACCTACCTGTTCTTCAATCTCTGTGCAGAGTAATCCGATGTCCTTTCCTTCCTCTAGTGAAATGTCTGCCTCTCTCCCCCACCCCCACTTCATGGAGTTAGTTTATGAACTTTGGGCGTGCTTGTGAAACAGCAAGGGGCGTACCTGCTTGGTTGATCATTCTCTCCAGCTGCAAATGGGCCCTTAGCCAGAACATTGCCCTGTATTGAACTCATGTTGTTCCCCATGCTTAACCCTGAGTTGAGATGAATGTTTGTGTGTGTGTGTGTGTGTGTGTGTGTGTGTCACCCTTTGGCTCTGTGGGCAAGGAAGAAAAAAGTCAGAGGGGGGAAGGTGGCCACTGCACTCACTTTGCACAGGCCACCAGTGCTAACTCAGACAAATCAAATCTTGCTGCAAGCCTATCTCTTAAGGCAGAGCTGATCTATCCTCCTTTCCACCTCCACCTCTGGACTCTTTCCTTTGTGGTAATAATGACTTGGTCATCCTTCATGTCCTCTTCTTTGGTGATCTTTGCCCTCCTTCTTGACCGTGCAGCCATAGCCACCCGAGCCACTACCAGCGGTCATTGGATGCTGGCAATCTTTGCCTCCCTGATTGGAGATCTGCCGCTTTGTGGGGCATGACAAGAAATTGCTCCACCTTCTGCCTCAAAGCTGCGACTACTCTGCCATATTTCCTGTGGTGCCCCCTGCTGGCACTAGAACAACAGGACATACCTGCCCACCTACCAGCTCTTTATGCCCCACTCATGTCCTTTCCTTCCGCGGGCTCCTCTTTCACTTGCTTCCTGGGGTTACTGCATGTCCCATGAGTCTGTTTGGAGAGATCAAGGGGTATGCTTCTCCAACTAATCATTCTCGCCTGTTGCAGCTGGGCCCTTATCCGCAACATTCCCCTGAGGTCATTTCATGTGGTCCCCTATGGGTCTGACTGGAATTAACCCAGGTGACTCTTGCCTGAGACAGGTTGACATTTTCCTACCATGCTGCAGGTTAAACCGCAGAATCCTCTGTCCTGTAATGTCTGCAAATCTTCAGCTGTAAGATCGAATCAACGTGACGGTGTGAGCTCCCGTCGCTTTGTCCCAGCTCCCGCCAACCTAGCGGTTCAAAAGCATGCAAATGCGAGTAGATAAACAGGGACCACCTCGGTGGGAAGGTAACAGCGTTCTGTGTCTAAGTCGCACTGGCCATGTGACCACGGAGGATTGTCTTCGGACAAACGCTGGCTCTATGGCTTGGAAACGGGGATGAGCACCGCCCCCTAGAGTTGAACACAACTGGACAAAAATTGTCAAGGGGAACCTTTACCTTTACCTTACTGTGAAAAAAAAAAGTTTTTGTTGATTAAGAAAAAGTTTAAGACCTTTGTGTGATAACAAAGTTCAGCTGCAAAGCAGATTATAGCTGAGTCACAATGGTTCAAATATTATAAACATCCCGAGAATAAAAAAGAGTGACATGTAAATGTAGTAGTAAAACTCTTGTCCTACTCTCACCTTGCCTCAAATTCCATTTTTTCAAAAGGAATTGAGAAGATGGCATCTTCCTTTTGTAACTGGTTCAGGTTTTTCCTCTATATTTTTTTGCTCTTTTTATTTGCACCCTATTCCCAAAACCTTTAAGGAGGAAGCTAGGAAACACATGGCAACAGGGTGCAAAGAGCTCATTCTCATGTCAGCAAGTCCCTGATCGAAGTAGGTACTCACATAAGCTTCCATCTTCTGAGTAGGCTGACCTAGAACTAACTGCAGCTGACACTCTTCATGACAGTTCCCTCTAGCTCATCATCCCCTTCGCTTCTGCAGCCATGAGGAACATTGAGGTAGGGCAAGAAGCTACAGTGAACCCATATGGAAATGAGTGTCCATAGTCTCCTCAGGATCATCAGGGATGTGGGTATTTGGAGTCGCTGCTCACCCTGTCCATCTTCCAGAGAAACCCCAAGTTCCAGGAAAAAGGCTGAACCCGCCCCCCATGTGCTAAGATCAAGTGCAAAAAAAAACCCTAAACCATTTGATGAGCTAAAACTCAGACCATGCCTAGCCAAACATTTTCCCCACATATATATGAAGTCTGGATGATGGGAATTGCCATCCAACATATGGAATGGGTACCAGATCACAGACACTACTCAGGCTTTTAGGTCATAACTACTGCAGTGCTGAATAGCTGTGTGCCTCTGCCTGAGATTTTAGGAAGATTTTCACTCTAGTCCCAAGCTGCTTATGTTGCCATACACAAAATCCTCCACTGGCTTTTTCTGACAGCCTTTACTTCTTTTACAACACAATCTGATGCATGCCAACCTGGTTCTGAGCCAATATTCTTACTGAGTGCCAGATAAGAGTGTACAATACTTTTACTGCTGTTGAGGGAAAAGGTTGCCAGGTTCAAAGAGCAAACTGTAGGTACAAACTCTGTCCGGTAAGAGAGGAAAGGCAGTTTCTTGATACTTGAAGGGAATTCTTCATTTGATATTGCAAGGCCCAAGACTAACCAGATGTGAAATGGTGTATTCATTCTGTCCAAGCTCAGAGGTACTCTCTAGTTTCATTACATTGTTGAATGTTTCAGGTAGTTTGAACTGAACATTAACACAGAATAAGCCTCACTGTTCCATCGGCCTGAGTTTCGGGAGTCATGGCTTCACGTTTTTAGTCCCTGAAAGAAGAAGAGCAGGAGCTAAGCTGAGAGATGGGCTTTCAGCAGTGACATTGCCACATGGAGAGCACATTGCTTCTAGTAGTTCCAAGCCTGAGATACCAGTGGAAGCGTGTAGGGCAGGGTCAAACTAAACTTTAAGGAGATCTACCTGGATCACTCGAGCGAGTCAGGAAGTGAGGCTGAGGGGCCTGACGCCGAGAGAGGCCCAGAAGGAAAAGACACGAAACCGGGCCTTCTTGGCGGTGGCCCCTCGTCTTTGGAACAACCGCCCTCTGGAGATTCATGCGGCCCCTACGCTGGGCGCCTTTAAAAGTCAATTAAAAACATGGCTGTATATTCAGGCCTTCCCTCCAGCTAATATCTGATCTTTTTTCATCTTTATTTTATTTATTTTATTTGGCCTTTGTATTGCATTTGTTATTTTATGATTTTTGTAATATTCTGTGTTATTTTATTGTTTTGTGTGAAGTTGGAAGCTGCCTACAGTGATCTTGCAGATCAGATGGGCGGGGTATAAATAAAATGAATGAATGAATGAATGAATGAATGAATGAATGAATGAATGAATGAATGAATGAATGAATGAATGAATAAATAAATAAATAAATAAATAAATAAATAAATAAATAAATAAATGGGTGCTGTAAGTTAAGACCATGAGTCAACCTGTCACCTGCTGCAAGTGCTGGGGCAGCTAATTGCATTTTGCCACCTGCCTGGCCTCTAAAATTCCCATCTCACCTCAGAACATGAGTAGACCAGAAGGGGTGGAGCGATGTCAGCGAGAGCAGTGAAATCCCCAGTGCTCTGGGAACCTCTGTGTAAACTCTGAGTCAGCAGACACCCCCCACCCAACAGTGGAACGGGGAAAATGTTCTACAGGAGAGTGGGCTTGCAGCGAAGAAGAGCTGGAAAAACTCTGAATTCAGACAGAAAATCTGTCTTGGTGAGAGCTTCCTTTCTCAAAGCATCTGGCTCGGGAGATGCCATGTATGGTGAATTAGCCGCCTAACTTTGCCAAGGTGGCTAGTGTGAAGAAGATTTTGGCCTATATCTAGGCTCTCCTTCTTTCAGGGATGTGGTGGCGCTGCGGGCTAAACCGCAGAAGCCTGTGCTGCAGGGTCAGAAGACCAAACAGTCGTAAGATCGAATCCACACGACGGAGTGAGCTCCCGTCGCTTTGTCCCAGCTCCCGCCAACCTAGCGGTTCGAAAGCATGCAAATGCAAGTAGATAAATAGGGACCACTTCGGCGGGAAGGTAACAGCATTCTGTGTCTAAGTCGCACTGGCCATGTGACCACGAAAGATTGTCTTCGGACAAAACGCTGGCTCTATGGCTTGGAAATGGGGATGAGTACCGCCCCCTAGAGCCGAACACGACTGGACAAAAATTGTCAAGGGGAACCTTTACCTTTACCTATGATTTAGAACATAGTTTCTAAGCTTGTAGTTCATACTTAATCTTTGTAAGCGTAGCCATAATTACACCTTAAGCCTTTTTCCCCTGCTTTGTGTTAGGCAGCTATCTCTCAGAATATGTAATAGACATGGGTCTTTCTATTTCTTGCACTGCAATCCCAGGCCTCGGTTTGCCTATGAAGAAAGAGGAAATGGATGGGAGTGGCCAGGCTCCAGAGTTGCTGCATGGAATTATAGAACTATTAGTCTTTATATAATAAGATCTATAAAGAAGTCTTTTAAAATATTTTACTACTACAGTGAGCTTATATTTCTTGGTTACAACTCCCCCCCAAAATATGTCTGGGGAAATATAAAAACAGAAAAGCCCTATTCCTAGTATGTAATCAATACCATCTAAGTAATCTATGCAATACATGTGTCACTTATTCTGAGTTATTAGTACATATATATGGATGTGTGTTTAAAAAATAATGGCCAAAATGGATCTATTTGTGGGCAGGTCCAAACCTTGTTCCCCTCCCCGCAAATCCTGCAGCCTCTACAATCCATCTCTTCAGGACAGGTTGAAAGGCAAATCCTCAATTTATTTATTTTTTTAGTAATTGGAAAAATGTTCAGTGCAAGTTAGTGACTCAAAATATTCTTCCAGCACATACATAATGGCAAATACATAAACAAGCCCGCAGTACACATTAACGTCTGTGTTAAAAGTAACAACATGTTACATGTTTTCATCATCTGATTCATCCTCTTCTTTCAGAGATTCCTTAGCATCTTTCTCGGCTCCTTCCTTAATGTCCTTTGGGACCATTTTGTGTTTTCCTTTCGTTATTTCTCCAACCCAGCTGAGTTCCGGTTCAAGAGCTTTATCTTTTACTTCATCATGGTCTATGTAGATCAGTGTTTCTTAACCTTTTTGAAAGAAACGCCCCCTTGAGCCATTGAGGAAGTTATCATCGCCCCCCTCCCTGCGGCGATGATATCTTTTTATTTATTTATTTATTTACTTACTTATTTATTT